CGGGAGTGAGGGGCACTGTCGTGTCTCCCATGTGCGGCTGGGCTGCGTGACGAGCGCGGCTGTGACAGACGCGGCCCGCGGGCGGCAGGCGGGTGACAGGCCTGGGCAGCTGCTGGCCAGACGCTAATTGCTCTGAACATGGCACATTAGCGGAACGGGATCCCTGCCCAGCCCCAGCGCCTGACACGGCCCAGCCCCTGCCCCCGATGGGAGCCGGCGCCCCCTGGAGGGGAACTGCCCCTGCCCCATCCTCGCCCCCCCGAGCCAGCCAGGCCCTGCCCCTGCCCCTGCCCCTGCCCCATCCCCGCCCCCAGCCAGGCCCTGCCCCTGCCCCATCCCGCCCCCAGCCAGGCCCTGCCCCTGCCCCTGCCCCATCCCTGCCCCCAGCCAGGCCCTGCCCCGGGGCGGGTGGGAGCCGGCGCCCCCCAGAGGGAACAGGCCCGAGGTGTCCAGGAAGGAGAGTCCTGGATCCAGTGGAAATTGCTCAGGAATTAGGAGGGAAAATTGAGGCCCGGACACCTGGGTTCCTGCCCCACGTCTGGGGGCAACAACAGAACACCCCCGACTCGGCCCTGCCCTGTCCCCAGCACCCCCATCCTGCGCCCTGACCCCCAGAATCCCCATTCCCTGGCGCCCTGTAGCAAAATGGGGTGCGCTGCTTGGGGGGTGCTGGGGGGGCCCTGATGGCTCTATGCCTAGTTGGGGGTCTGGCACCCCCAATTATTGTGAGTCACACATTCATTACCCCCTCGCTACTCCCTTTGCCTTCCCCTCCCAGTCCCCCTATACCCGCCCCCCCACGGCACCCCGCTATTTCCATCCCCTCTGCACCCCCAAACCAGCGCCCCCCTTTGCAATCTCCACGCGCCCCCTGCTCCCCCCCCCGCCCTGCGCACAAAGAGCAGGTTGCATTTTCCACCGGGCCCGTCCCCTCCCCCCCTCTCTTTCTGCAACCCCAAATCTCTGCATCTCTCCCCTCCCGGCACCCCCCTCGGCACCCCCCTTACCTCGGAGCAGAGGGGCCGAGCCCACCAGCAGCAGAAACCAGGACGCGACCCGCCCGGAGCAGCCCATGGTGGGTTTCTTCAGACCTGCGAATACCTTTTCTGGCGCTTTCCTTCCCGGCGGGGGGGCGGGCGCTGCAGCCAGTGCTGGGGAGCGGAGCGGAGCGGGGCTCGGCGAGGCGAACGCCCCCGGCTGCCGGCCAGACACCTGCGCCTCTGCGAGGCAAAGCGCGACCGGCTCGGGCTGGGGGGGGGTTTGCTGCAAACTACCCCCAGCAGCTCCCTTCCCCG